AATGATTAACAAAAGAGGGAAAATATGTTCATCCATTCTGACACTTGATACCCACAGATTTCCTAGGCTGGTGGAAGTGAGGTTTTGGCAGCATGTTTTATCAGTGAAGTCATAGGCAAGGATGCAGAGGAACAGGGATGAAAGCAGTAAACCCAGTAACAGCCATGGTACGATCCTGTCAATTTTTACTTTCAGGTAGATGAAGAAGATGTGCCTGAAAGTTGCAATTTTTATACAATAAAAAACACAAAGAAAAGCAGAAGCCCACAAATTGGAACAATTAAAAAAGTTATAAAGAGCTGAAAAAAGTTGGGGTATGGGTTGAACATAAAAGCACCAGGGATAAATTACTGAAAGAAAGTAATATATCCACGTAGTGCACAAATACCAAAACCTGGAGGACCCCAGAACCAGCAAGATCTTCTCATTAGAGTTGAAGGTTTTCTTTTTGAGCCAAGTACCACAAAGCACAGCAATAATGAAAGCATTTATCCACATGCCAGCAAATGCCTGAGGTGTGATGATGACCATAGTGATGACATCGTATAAAGTGATATTAAATTTATCTTGAGGGTGACAAGCTTCCATCCTCCAAGATGGGTAGCAGTGCTGTCCCAGAAAAGTAGGTCGTTGCACCAAAGCTCAGCGCAGGTTGGCAGCTGCTGCTCTCTGTCACGTACGGAAACAGGAGCTTTATAGAGCTGGTGAGGGTGGGGGGTTTGGTGCTGCCCCTATTCAGATCAGGGCAGGTGCAGGAATGTAAATGTGGTGGGTATTCCCTTACCTGGTGTCAGTGTCAGTCTTCAGAATTTGAATTTCTGTGCAGAAGAGCTCTGTTGGGTGACACAAACAAGGTACATGTTTTTCGGCAGCGTACAGTGGTGTGATTTAGGGACTGTCCCATGTTTGATCCCTGCCAGAATTCACGACTTGGGTCCTTCTGTCCCTTTGTTGCTGATGCTGCTCACGTGGTGGGTGCGCTCAGCAAAGCAGCTGGGGGAGTCACTGTCCTCTTTCATCCAAGAGTCCAGGAGCTGCAAAATTCATCCAAGATGCTGGAAACTGGAGTTCATTTGGATTCTCCACAGGTACTGAGAGCCATATTAGTTTTCCCAATGGAATGCCTTAATCAGAAGTGAAGAGCCACATGGGAGGGGGAGGGCACTGAAGGAAAAGCAGGACTTTCTTTTAAAGGTTTAATTTGAAGCACAGAGAGGAAAAGGGCAAAATTAAGCAAGTCTCTGTGACAGGGTTCAAAACTCACCTGCTAGCAATGTGAGGAGTTCTAGGGATGGGACCGCACTGGGTTCCTGGCACATAGACTGCCTCCAGACTTTGGGTTTGTACAGGACCTCGCACATAGGGACCACCGTTCCCAACCGGGTCTTGGCTGATGCTGCGGTGTAAGCAGCAAAAATTTAAATCACAACACAAAGCTATATAGAAATAAAGAAATAAACCACCAGCATTTTCTCTCTTCAGAATGATGCCCTTGTTTTCTGGAGGGATAGAAATGCAGGCACTACTCTAAGATTACTATCACATGCTCCTATTTGCATGTTTTTGCTAAGGACCGTGCTATAGCATTAACATATTGAAATGTTTTTACAGAAGTCCTGGAGTTCATCTCAACACCAAAACATGGTACCTAGCACATGTTTCCATTAAATCCGTTCAGACAGTCCAGTGGCTTTTGATAAAAGTCCTAGTGAGATCTTCACCACACTTTATTTTTCATATTCCCTAGAAAATTTTAACATTATAGCTGGGTTTGGGTGCAGCCATTCAAAAATATTATGGATCATTTAAAAACCAGTCGTCTTTGACTGAAATGACATTAGAGATTGTCACTGCACTTATAGATAGGTATTGTCTATGGGTAGTGTCTGTAAGTTCAAAGAGAATTAATTGCTTACGTTAAACAACCCACTTCTCTGAGGCTTAAAATACAAGAATTAATGTGAAGCCAGGTGTTCTCCTTGTCCTTTAGACCTGCAAAAAGTCAGGAATGAGGTCATCAGACTCTCACGGTGATCAGACTCCTGTTGTGTGTGTGTGAAGTGCAACCTTATGGGCGCTGGCCACAACGCCGCTCCCTGCAGCAGGTGTCAGTAAGAACCAGCAGTTAATCAATCACCTACTTCTCTGTATCTCATTTGCCATCGCCTTCATGTCTAAAGAGGGTCGAAGTTTTACAGACCGGGTGGCAAGGAGGCAAATTTGTTCCTTTTTTTTGGTCTGTATCCTTGCGTCTAGGAGTCAGGGCTGGCTTGTGCCAGCTGGCCAGTAGTGGATGACTTGCAGGGCCAAGCTGTGTTTCAGGAGGCTGGTTTGGCAATTTCTCTCCCTGTAACCCCCACTTTGCTGATCCTGTGACAGTGGGGCTGGGAACTGATGGACAACTTTTGGTTAATTAATTTGTTTCATCTCTTGTGGCCGCACTTTTATGGAATAGTTTGTGATCGTGGCTCTGGGGGAAAGATGCCGATGAGACATGTGGATTAACTACTCTGCACCCACCAATACCTCATTCCCCTCTCCGATCCCACTGGACTGATGGGATTGGCCATGTGGATGCCCCAGCAGGTTGCAGTACTGCACATGCAACCTGTAGAGACCCTGGGCTCTCAGGATGGCCAGGCCTGACCCCCCCACCTCAGTCCGGTACAACTGCTCCTCTCCTGTCCCGTAACAACCCTCTCACTGCCCGCGGTGCCTGACAGCTGGGGTCTCCCAAGCTGGGGGGAAAGTCTGCTGGCAGGCTGCAGAGCACAGCCTGGGAGCTCCCTGATGAATATCTTGTTTTCCTCCACTGCAGCCAGATTGGGACAGTCCTTCCTCCGAGGGATGGGGGTCCAGCATGGTGCTGGGCACCTGAGCAAAGGGGAGGCAAAGGTAGCAGCGGCGGTGTGAAGATGGGAGGAGGAGGAGGTGTGGGAAGTGTGTGGGAGCAAGAGAGATGCAGGAGCACGCAAAACCCCTTCATGTGGCTGCCAGGAGGAGAAACCCTCTGAATAGTCGGAGGCAAAGCTCAGCCCTGCTCTTGCCTTCTCACCAAGGGGACGTTCTTCTACCCTGTTTCACCCTGGCCCAAATGGCTTGTGTTCACAGGGAAGCACCTGGGAGGGATTCCCATACAAAACACTGGGGGAACACAGCTTCGTAGGCACATGAGCAGGACCAAACCGGGACCCCTTGCTGCACTCTTACTCTGAGAGACAAAGTCTTTGAGATCCCCTGAGGAAACCAAACTAGCACATTTTGCTGGAACTTGATGGCTGGCATTCTGCTGATTTTGGACTAGATATTAGGAAGCATTTCTTTCCAGAAGGGGTTGTTAGACGTTGGAATGGGCTGCCCAGGGAGGTGGTGGAGCCCCCAGCCCTGGAGGGGTTGAAGAGTTGGGTTGACTTAGCCCTTAGGGATATGCTGTAGTTGGGAACTGTCAGTGTGAGGTTAATGGTTGGACTGGATGATCTTCAAGGTCTTTTCCAACCTAGACGATTCTGTGATTACAAAAATAATGTTAGTTTTAAATTAAAGATGATACTTTACCCATAGAATCAGATTAAAAATGTGTTTGCATCTACCAAGAAATGTACAGGAATACAAAAAAAACCCACCAAGAAAACCTTCTCTTGAAGTGATTTATTCAGTTTGGAGACCATAAGTGTCATCTTCTGTTGTTACTTCCATACTCAGCTCATCATGTCAGGATGGGGCCAGGATGGTTCATACAGCACGAGAAAAGATTGATATTATCTCTGAAGAAGTCACAGAAATTTTAAAGAGTTCAGCAGCTCCTGATTGCTACAAGGGTTAATATGCTATGAGTAGTTATAAAATGGGGAGGCAGATTGCTTATTGGGTTGGCTTATGGCTGTATTTAATAAGATTAAAATCTGCTCTTCCTTTTAAAGTCCAACTTTTTTTATGGCTTATGCTTAGCAGTATTCTGAAGGCTATTCACCTGCAGGACACTATATCTACACTGGCAGGTAGCACCAGATGATCTTCTGAAATGGATTTCTGGAGGATGTGTTGTTTCACAGCGTTGGTTACCTGCTCCTCTGCCTTTATGGTACTCCCACCTGCTCCTCCGTTTTCTGGCTTGGTATCAGGGTGAGATTTCACTTCATTTGCCTGTGATTTTGAAACTGTATTTTCTATGTTTCAGATCCAAAACTCTGTTGAAGACACGGGTAAGGACACAATATTTTTATGTTAGTGGAAGCCTGTCAGTCATCAAGTGGGAAATTATATCAACTCATGTAATTTAGTCACTAACTTAGATGTATTATTTCTTTTGATAGTTGATGATGTTGATGGAGGGCAGCTTAGAAAGGACATTCCAGAAATCAACTCAGGTAAGTCAGGACAGTAAATATGTCCAAAATGTTGAGTTATTACAAAGATCTGACCTAGTAGCCTTTAGGAACCACAAGTCTGGCAGATGTGATGGCACCAAAGGGGACTGAAAGCTCCCTCCTATCTGAGAAAAATTGAAAATGTATCAGGGATACAGTGACTAGTGCAGTGAGTTAAAAATGTGTGGGATGAACCCCAGCTACTTCTGGAGAGAAGGGAGAAGACCTCCACTTTGGAGCCTGGTAGCAGCCAGAGAAGATGGAAGGGCAGGAGCAGAGGACAGAAAGGTCCATAAAAGGTTGGTGTTGGACAGGGAAGATGGAAAGGCCGGGAAATTTTCACAACGATAACTTTGTAGGAAGCCCAGGATCTTAATCTTAAATTTGGAACCACACTCAAGTGCTCTAGAGGAAGGTTCAGCAACCCTTGGACTGAACCTGCACCCCTCCGCACTGCACTCTTCTGCAGCATGACTCCCAGAGAAACCTTGGCAGGGGCTCGAATTCACATTCTGCTTCACGGATGTGCATTTATTTTGAGTTGGTTTCACATGACCAATGACTAAGACATGAAGCTTAAGTCCCTTCATCTCTACCCTCAGGGTTTCAGTGGCATTGCCTTGAGAGTTTTAATTTCCTGGCATTGCCTGTTATCTGCTTTAGGCTCTGGTGTAAGTTTCCTCTGGTGTTGCTGACAGATCAGAAATCATGTGTAAGGTGGGGGTTTAGTTTTGTGGGTTTTTTTCTCTTTCTATGTACATGAGGAGAATATAAGTTGTTTCTATAACAAAAGATCTGAAGATGAAGGTTCTGTGTTGGGATTGTGCTTACACAAGGGCATTAAATGTAAAGGTTACACCAGCAGGACCATACAGTGGCTGGGGTTCACACTTCGCTCTGTGGGGGGAACTTGGCACCTTAAAAAAATCAGGGTCTAAAATCAGAGTCTCAACTGCTGTATTTTTAAATAATGGAAAATGTGGATCAGCTGCTTAAAACACAGGTGTCTGTTGCCAGTTCAAATCCATCCCCCCCAGCACCATTCTAGAAGGCAAAGGATTGTTCCAAACTTTGTATCTACCAACCCAAGCGGATATTTTGGATATCCCTGTGCATCTCAGATGGCACCAGACATGTATGTTTAGGCAACTGGATGGACACACAGCTGTAATGGGATCTGAGACACATAGCACATAGATTTAATTGATGCATTCTGAGCTT